GTGGGGATACCAGAGAGCTTCAAAGTAGGATGGTACCCCCCCCAAAAAACTGGGTCGAGTCACCTTAAAAGAAGAAATCCAGAATTCAGAAGGTGGAATCCATAATTAACAGCATGGAATCCAGAATCTTAGGATTACCTTACTTTAGCCAATACAAAACACACCTCCTGGTTTATCTTCGTGATTTTCAGCTTGTTCTTCAACATTTTCCTCTTTCTCCCCTACTTCACCATCTTGCATCACTTCTTCACCTGTTGTTTCTTGTTTATTTTCTTCATGTGAAGGTTTTTTTGCAGCATTTTCACTCTCCTCCCCAGCTGTTTCATCTTGTGATGGTTTCTCCTTTTGTTCTTCTTCTTCAGTCTGTTCTTTCTCTTGGTCGTCTGTTCCTGTTCCAGCATCTTGCTTAACGTTCATCATTTCATCTTCATCACTAGTTTCTTCTATTTCCAAAACAGGCCCTAAACATGACAATGCACCATTGAAACATTTCATTTATTCTCCTACCCTTGCAGACTTCGTAACAGAGCCGTGCAATGCTATTCTCCTCAGAGAGTATCTTCACCACGTTTTAAGAGTTTAGGCCTCACTACCTTTCTAAAATTACCATTTACATCTCTACAATTACTGTAGGTTCACTTGGGAAAACAGCTATATGGTCATTCTCACCTGGTTGTAAACTATAGCATTATGTACATCTCTACCAAGACTGGAAGTTAAACATTTTAATGGCTTCCAGTCGAACTGGGGAGCTTACCATGTAAGCAAATATTATGATAATGGTGATACAAAAAACTATAAGTGAGTAAAAATGTTTGTGTCTGAATGGTTCAAAGCAGCAAAAGCAGATGATAAAAATAATGATAGAGCGAGTTTGTAGAAAATATGTCACCAATAAAATTCAAGCAAACTTTGGTATGCCAGCTTATTTAAAGAACTGCATCTTTGTTTTTAAACTTTTTGCTCCAGTCTCCTTTGTGTTTGATTAGAACACAATTTATCTTTCTGGTGAGATCTCATTTTAATGTTGTCTTCTTCCAATCAGGAAAAGAGCATTTAAAAAGTTATACTAAGAATTTGTTTCACTTACATTTTCTTGGGTTCTGCAAAGAGTTCCTAACAGCATCTGCTGCATTGTCATAAAATGAGGAAAGAATGTTCAAAATGCGTTTTCTATCCACCATGCCAGCCTAATGTAATATAAAAAAAGAACAGATAGAACAACAGATTACTGATAAGAAACCTCTTGCATCGTTTTTAAATGATATATAGTGAATTGTGATTCAAATATAATATACATACAAAAATTTATTGAATTTGATTGGCTGAGAGCAATGCAGTTTATAGTAAACACAGTGCAAAATTGAGGAAACATAATGCAAAAAGTAGAATCATGAATGGTTACTGCCACTGACATGTTACAATCAAGCATTCTCACGTACATTCTTCATGTCACAACTCAAGAAAAGATTCCTCAAAGTTAATCTGCAAAATAAAATTAATGATAATAAAAATATTTAGTAAAGATAATAATTCTGAATTTTAATGACAGTTCATTGTGCCATAAGCGGTAATAGATTAGCCTTTACAGTACAGATTTGTTTATATTTAGGTAAGGTTTCTCACCTCATTGCTTCCTTAACAGTGGCAGTCCTGTAATGAGCTGCACAACGTGACAAGTGCTCCACAAATGCATTGAAAGCTTCCTTGGATAGGTTACCAGCATATGGTCTAATGTACTGTAAAGCAATTAAACAAAAGAAAAGTTGATTGATCAATACTTTTCCAATAACCTCTGACTTTGACAGTCTGCACAGACTAGGGCATAATCATTTTCTTGAGGACTTTAGAACTCTCTGGAATGAGTTTGAACATTTTTATGGAAAATTGCACACTATAATGTATTATTATAAAGTTCAGAAATCTTCAGAAAGTATTCTAAATTGTCAGATATGACCTGGTTCACAACAAAAATATCCTGTCACCCCTGGGACTCTCTTAGGGAAGGAATATAATATTATTGTCCCTACTCTGAATTTCAAAACTTGCATTTTCACATAGTCATGAGGACGAAGCCATGTCCTTGTTGATATTATTTAGCAACTTCATCTTTGTTGCTGACTTGGAGTTTCAACCAAACATTGTGTCACTTGTTGCAATTTCATCTGTCCTATGTTGCTGTTTCATGTCCATGTCACTAGTTGGAAATTAACCCTTATAGGGCCTGACCCCTCACATAAAAATCTCAGGCTAAGACACAAACAGAGGTTGACAGGTATAAACAACATCAAGGCAAAGCAAGCCTTTCTGGTTTTAAAAGCTAGAAAACTCAGAAATACATATATCATACACGTAAATGCTAAACATATTAAAACTGGAAACTTTTTCAACAATATCTTAACTTAGCAATGAGTTCCTTACATCTTTAAATTGTTGCATGTTAACCATTTTACCAGTGGAGTCTGTTGGTTCAAGAGGAATGAGAAATGCTGCTCCTAAAAAAAAATAATTCCAAGCTAAATTAAGTCTCCTGGACAAAAACAACTTTTGCCATCTGTAGACACATACAATTTAGAGGACTTCGATATGGGAATGGTGAAATTAAATAATATTGTTTACATTATATGCCACTGTACATTTAATAACCCTGGTGTCAATATAAAACAAAAGTAATATACCAGACAATATTATAAGACAAGCGACGACCAGAAATACGTCTTTGTTGCAGGCTAACATAAAAATAACTTAGAAATTACACGCACATCCACCTCTTGGTTTTTTTTGTGTGAGTGTTTTAAGCCAGTTTTATCAACAGCAGTTACACACCTTTCCTGACTTCCTCTGGAAGAGATACAGCAATTTCCTCCTCAAATGATTTGAGCACATTCTGAACCTAGTAAATAAGTGCACCAAATTTTTTTAATTGACTATTTTCCAATTCCCCATAATACACTCTGTCTGCCCCCCAAATTTTGCATAACTTATTGTCTTAAAATGCTCTTGGGAAAATGCAATACTCCCAGGAGCATTTAAAAACAATGGTTAATGCAAAATTTGGGGGGCAAACGGAGTGTATTATGGGGAATTGGAAAATAGAGAATAGGCCTGGTCTAAGAACAGGAAAAATTCTTTTCTCAAGATTGAAAGAGTAGCAAAATCTAGAAAAGCAGGCAGAAGAAGATTCAGAATAAAATTTCCTAATCACTGTCTGGCCAGTACTGTCCAGTATGCTATTTATAAGATGAGCACTTTGTGACCCTCTGTTTCAGATGCTAAATATCAGCTTCTGAAGTTCAGGCATGCACAGAAAGCAAAATTTCCAAAAAATTTTTGCTTAGGTTTCTTGCCCTGTTTTTTTCTTTTGCTAGGCATTTACTAGGCTTCATTTTTGAGGCAAAAGGTTTGAAGAAAGCTTTTAAGATGTAAGTAAAAAGAAGTGCAGGTGGGCAGAGGAACAAAATTTTCAAGTCAACTTTTCTTGTTTTTATTCTTCACATTTTTCTTTAGTCTCTTTCACTGAATCATGCTCATTCTGGTTAGGTTTGAAAGATCTTGTTCCCCTCACAAGTTTGCTGACAAAGTTGTCCTTATATGTTAAATCTGATGGTGCCATGAGTGGTACAAGGGAGGTTGATCTGCACAGGCAGCTACAGGTGGTTCAGGGGCAAATGGGTTTTAAAACATATTTAATTGATGTCTAACTCACAACTGATAGTGGTAGAGCACCATTCCAATTCCCCGTCCACTCAGGAAATTGTTCCTCCACAGCAATGGAACGACGACGGCTTTCCATGTTCTTCAGGTGTTCTTCTTTATCTCTTGCTTCACGTCGCTTTTTGGCCTCAGCCTTAAGTTTGGCCAGTTTGTTATCCTCCAATGAAAACACCTCCCTTTTGAGGTCATCCACAACCTTACGGATACCTTTCGCATAAGGTGATGCTTCTGCAAAGTTGCTATACCTGGGATTATTTCTCATTAAAAACTGAGCCAGGTAATTGATAGGATTAAAAGTTGGACAGAAGCCTTCAGAGTCAGTAAGTCCTTTCTTTTCAACCTCGCCTAGCAGTTTCTCAACTCCCAATATCAAAGTTGGCATAAGATTTTCCAACAAATACACCCTTACTTCTGAAGTAATATCATTATCATTGAGCCAGTCTCTAGCCAAAATGTCAAGAGGTATTGTTCTAGCAACAAGTTGTGCGATCTCTTTGGCGTCGGCATCCCGTTTTTTTCTCTCCGCTTTCACCTCCATAAGTCTTTTAGTTATCTTCTTTTCCACATTTCCGCGCCAGCGGTTCATAGCACTCCGTGCAAAAGCTCTCACAATAGGCGACGCCATGCCATCTCTTTCAAGCTGATAAGCAACATTAGAAATTGATAAACTGCGTGACCTTGGTTTGACCATATCAGGAGACACGCTCTCAAGTCCCATGGCATCTGAAACCTCTTGATCAGGGCCATCCACTTCCAGTTCAATTTCTGTAGAGTTCAGGGGTTCTTTCGAATACGTCAATGCAACAGCCATAGTTCTAACAATGAATTGGTTGATTTTTAATTAAACATCCTGATAGACCTCTAGCGCAGCGGGTAAAAAACTCGAGCTTCCTTTGCTCCTGATTGTTTTGACTTCAAACATGGCGGAAAAAGAACAGTTGTTTGTTACTATGACAACGACTTCGCTAATTACCAAGCCGCCTGCTGCTTGGTTGTTGACGCCTGGGATAATTTCGCTGTGTGTCACGAAATTTCCATTTTGAATTTTCGTGAAGTGTTTTCTTTGGCTTCAGATGTAGAATTACGTGACTTACAAAACACTTTAAGACAATACTTTACTGGAGATTGTATCGCAGTTTCTATATACCACTCTGGTACATCAATTTGGTGAATTTGACGTGAGCTGCGGTCTGTTTTGAGTTGGCGTGCGTCGCGAGTGTTCGTTAAATTCTACTTCTCTTTGGTTTCGAAAAGAACGAGGTTGTCAATACTGTAGCTGTTTAACAATGTCTTCCGCGGACTGTTGCTGTGCGATGTGGCAGTCACCTATTCAGGCAGCTATTAGGCCAGCTGTTTGGCTCCCAGGAATCAGGAATCTTCATAGCAAAAAGGAAACGTGAGTACGCTGCAGACGTCAGTACTTACATGTATAGCTAGCTATGTATGTACAACTTTGACAGATTTTTCAAAAAAGTAAGCTCGCTTTTCAAAAGGACTTCAAGTTAATATGATTACATTATAACTTTGTTCTTCAAGTGCGACGTGAAGTCTTCGCTGTACTTTTTAAGATGACTGTACTTAAATTACGTAGTTTACCATCATCTTTAAAACTAGGCTTTTCACTTTTTTAGACTGAAGAAGGTCAAAATACAGTGATTTTGCACCTACTGATTTCATTTATTTCTGCGGACATCTATATACTCTAGCTTGTAGACAATAAACAAATAAAAGCCCAACTGGTCTGAAGTCGTGTTGTAAGATAAAGACTAAACCAAAACAACTTCATAATATTATGTTACGAGGAATATCCATTCGATGAAATCGAGAGAGAGACTGACTCCACAATCTGTTGCTGCGGCTACTTAAAAATTGTCAGTAATACATTATTTGTAAAAGTTCATATGCTTCAATATTTTGTAATACTGAACATCACATGTTATAAAGCTGTCCAGAGAATACAAAAAAAATGAAATTCCTCTATCACACTTAAACCAATATTTAACATTTATGCAGTCTTCAGTAATTTGCATAATACAAAGTGTTTTTAAAATTCATGTGTCACCTATCAAAATGGCTAGCTTTCAGAGACTGAGAAACATTTTTTCTAAAAAAACTGAATTATTGATTATTTTTTTGTCTGCTTGGTACAAAAAACAGCTATCCATTTTTGGCAGTTATGCAAGCTATGTGAATTATTTGATAAACTTGAGTTAATAAAGCAAAACCAATTTTATTATATTTCATAAACTTTTACAATATTAGCTGCGATACCCCCAATAATAACAGGATTTTCCCGGGTGGGAAAAGGTGAATGATTAGAGCTAAAATAACGAAATAAAAAGAATGGCAAAAAGACCTGAAATAAATATTTTATTTAACACATGACTGTATAAAACATTATACTTGCACTATTAACATTTTTTTTCTCAGGTCAGCAAAGGGTAAGTGCCAACTAATTAACTAAATCCTTAAAGTAACTACCCCAGAGCAGTGGGCTCCTTATCAGGCGGTAACTAGTAAAATTTACGGCTTGAAGCAACACTTCTTACCGCTTGCAACCGCTTGAAGTGTTACTATCCAAGCCGATCCTCACAAGAAAAGGAAGATAAATAAGGAAAAAGCAAAAAGTATACACAGCTATTCTCGCTGACTGCTCACTCACAGACTGGCTTCTTACAAAGCAGTGCATGCTAACAATTTTTTCATGGGCTTCTGTCCCAATTCTAGACTTTCTCGACCAGCAAGAAAAGTTCGGGACCTCTGCGTCTTGTGTTACTTATTATATGACTTATATAAATTGACCCTAGCAGCAAAGGCAGCCTTCATTCGTAAAATTCTTTGTTTGAGGTGTTTGAAATACTTTTCAGTCAAATTGGTTGACAGGCTGCTCGAAAATAAAAGCCTTTAATTATTCAAGAACGCAAAGCTCCCCCACCAGGCCGGAGAGTGCCCCTCTGATGCATATTAATTTTTTTGGCCTTACCCATCAAGAATGGTCCCTTCACCTGATGAGCTAAAATTTAGGGAGACCACTGCTAGAGGCCTCAAAGCTGTTAATAATTTGTTCAGCATTGTGGAACTTCAAATAATTTATTGGAACCCTTAATTACTTTCCAAAACTTCTATCTCATGCATGCCCATTTGCACATGTGGAAAAATTTCCTGTAATTACCTGAAGGAAAATTTTTAATTTGATATACACCTATGTAAATGGAAATTTGTAAAATTCCTTCCCCATTGAATGAGATTTAAGGACCTCTAAGTTAAGACAGACACTGTCAATAATACAAGACTGATGACTACAGCTTCAAATAAACATTTTACTTTTAATAAATTTAATTATTTATTTGTCCTTTTAACCTCAGCTGGATAATACCAGATGCAACTCCTGAAGTTTGTTTGGAAAATCTGGTATCAGCTGTTGCTTTGCTAGGTGAAAGAGAGAAAATGCACATACATAAGGCAAGTAATAACGATGTTCTAACGTACATAAAGTATTGTTAAACAAGGCTGTGCTTTAAGAAAAATTGAAGGGAGACCAGCATTCACCGCATCAACAGCTCTGAACCCCGCAAAATCCAGGGTGCCCAGCTTATGATTTTTATGGAAAAACTAAGATTTAGTTAGCTAGTTGCCCAAGAGCAAAAGTAAGACGCCAGGAGCTACCCGTCACTGCTAAAGCATAGCCCTGTTAAAAAATTATGTTTTTCGATTGAGTCACATATCTTCATGTCCTGTTTAATTTGATCTATCTTATCATCATTGTTTTGCAAAAACATTTTATAAATTAATTTTTGCGCACTCAGAATTATTTCCTTTAGAATATAATTGATACTTGGAAGGCATGTATCTTACAAAACATTATAATTTATTATTAGAGAGAAACATTTTGCTAAATAAAATTGTAATTATTGAAAAAAGGTTGAGGGCATGGTCTAGCTGCTTTTAAGGTTTTTTTCAGTCATGGCACTAGTCAGTCAGAGCTGTCTTTTTAAACTGTGGAATTCATGATTGTTTATTTATGTTTTGTATTTGTTTGTTATAAATAGGTGCGACCCAACAGAAATTTTGTTCAGATTTATTCCTATACTGAATTTGAGTGGCTGGATGTAGTGGAAATTGAATTTCAACCAGGACAGGAAAGGGGAACATTAGGAAAGGTATCTATTTAGTTAGAATCATGAAGTAATAATTCTCTCTAATGGAAAACCCCTATGCCATGCCCTTAGATTTTAGGGCTTGCTATACAGAGAACACAGTTGTAGCTTTTGCAGGAACTCAGTAAGCTGGAACAAGCAAGCAGAAAAGCAAGTGATAAATACTCTTTTTAATGCTCTTTTTTCTGTCAATCATCCCCACTCTGTAAGAGCCTGAAACAGCCGCATGTAGTTGTAGACAAGTAAGTCTGGCCAGCCATAGATTATCTTAAACTTACCTACCTAATAGAGAGGTGCTTAAAATACCCTTAAGTTAATGTTGTCTTTGAGATCGAGAATCATCTGTTCATTATTTCATGACTGTCACACCCCTTATCAATCCCCCTATCTGTAAATTGGAGAATGTGGAGTACTCGTTAGTCAATATGAATTGGTCAATATGGGTCACCTTTCCCAAAATTTTGAAATTACACATCGGGGATGCCCAATAACACATTGGTACCAGTTTGGCAATTCTCTGTAGGTATTAAAAGTATACCTCAAACTTTTAAGTAAAGATAGATAATTTTTATTGATTACAGACCTCTGGGAGAATTTTAGTGTGTGCTTTGGAAGAAAGATGTTCTGAAAGTCAAATATTTTTGTAAAAATGAGATAGAAGTACTAAAGGGAGGGCCACCCCACCCCACTGTTCAGAGTCCCCTATCTTTCTGTAAGATTATTGAGATTATAGAAGACTTTGGATTTCTGGTGGCCATCTTGGATGAGACTCGCCTCCCTCCCCGCACCGCCTTAAAACCACAATGCCCGCCCCCTCAGTACTTATGAAACCAAGATGGCTGCCTGTACTGGTGAGTGCTCTATCCTAACGTTCTAACAAGAAAATAGGCGACTGTGAATAGCCTAGCCCCTAATCTGCCTATGTTTTTGGTAAACAGCAATCTCCATGAATCAGAGATACTGCAAGAGAACAGATACTTTCTTCCCTTGGGTTAGATCAGACATGCAATCTACATTGTGGGAATGAGATTGGTTTCTTAGCTCAGATTGTCTACTCCTTTAATGGGGAAAAACTTGTTCAGATCTATTCATATGACTGTTTTAACTTGCAGGCACACTCATTTTCCACTGGGGTTCTTCCTCTTATGATCCCACTTGCTTTTCTGCTAAACATGGTAAGAAACCTATTTTGTGCTGATGACCCAGGGGGTACCAAACAAAATTTTGTACGGGGAGGCTCCACCCCAAGGTGCAACCCCTTACCCTTTTATATACCATTTGAGATAGAAAAAGTACCTATTAAGTATACCTTTTATTGAAAAATGGTATCCTTTTCACTTACTAGTTTAGAACACTGCATCTGTTTTAACTGCTGTAAATCCAGTGTCTTTTATAGCCTGCATAGCAGGCGTCAAAAGGGTTAGGGGACGTAGGGAGGAAGGAAAAAAGGGAGGGGGATTGGGGAGAGAGGGTAAGGCTCCCTTCTCTTTTCCCTTTTGTGCTTTTCTCCCTCACCGACTCCCTCCCTTTTTTGCCCCTGCCATGCAGGCTATGTCTTTTAAAGAGTAATACATGACTAAACCAGAAAGTTTTCTTGACTATTTCACAGTCATAAAAAGCATCTGTTCGCTCTTTTGAGCCTTTTTATCAACCAAAATGACAGATTTCCCAACCCTTTCTTATACTTCAGTAAGTGAAATCTCACCCTTTCAATGCCTCAAAAGGTACCCCTTTTAGGAGAGACAAAGCCTCACCGTATAGGCCATTGTAAGGAGTACCCCTCCCTCCCCTGGGACTGATGTCATAACCTTGACAATAAAAGGAGAGATAAATGTTCACATATTAACCAAAAATTCTAAGCTGGAAGTTAGTTTGAGGTACATTGTGTCTTTCTGTAAAGGCGGAGACAACAAGGAGTAAAATCTCTCAACTTATCCCATCCCCTTTTCTCCCCAGGGGTACAACTGTACTTCTTATAATGGACTATATGGGAATGCTTTGACGTTTTCCCACACTTGAGGTATATGAAAGGGTGGGATTTCATGCGTCACGGTATGGAAAAGAGTTATGGAAATGTGATACTTGTGGGCCTTGGGAGGGTCCAGCTATCACACATAATTCTTGAGAGGTTACTGTACTGGCTCAACAGAAAAATGTGCCTAAGTCACTCAATTATTGACCAAACATTTTTTGAGGTCTATGAAAGGGGTACCCTTATGGTCAGCACGCAGTGGTGTATCGAAAAGTAAGAGTTTGGAACTGTACCAAACTTTGTTGGATACAATCTCTCCCTGCCCCCCAATTGGGGATTCCTCTTGGGTCCTCTTGATTTCCATCCCACACGCTCACCAGAAAAAGGGATATACAATATGGGGCCTGCATATTCAAGTAATCTCTCACATATTAAACGATGTTCTCGCTATAACCCGCGGAGTAATGTGGGTGCTATTTTACAAAACCCTACCTCTAAGTTCAAAGGCACTCTTGGGGACTTTATCATTCACTGCAGCTGCTCCAAAGATATGGAACGGTTTACTGGACTATATTAGGAAAGAGAATGATTTAGATAAGTTTAAGACTCAGACGCACTATTTTAAAGAGGCCTATAGCGACCTGTCTTGAGCTATCATAGGTTTTTATTTTCTACTTTTATCTTCTCTTTTTACTTCTTACTTGTTATGAGTTATGCTAAATTACCTATTAGGAAGGAAATGTAACAACTGATTAAGCTTTAGTATATAGAGAGTATGTAATATATCTTTTGTTTTAGTCTTGTTCAAGTGTTATGCGCATTTGATCATATCTTTTAGTGTTAAAATGTGCAATAAAAGCAATGACTATTATTAAATATTATTACTATTACTAAAACAGGGAACTGGAAGTGGGAACGAGCACCAGGAATGCAAAAAGGAAAATTGGAAAGAGACCTACAATCATCGTCAAAAGTGTTGGGAAGGTTGCATTTTTTACCTCTTCTTTTTCTTCCTCCCCCCACCCCTGGCCCAATGTTGATCAAAACGTTAATGTTTGTGCGCGCAATTGTTCTGTTATATCCCAACATTGAATAGGGGGGACGGGGGATATTTAGCAAAAGAGAAAACTCTGTTTTTTCAGGATTAAAATGGACTACTGTTAAGTTGTACAACCTTCCCAACTAATTTTGTCTGTGATTGTCTGAAAATTCTGGGTGTGGCAGTAAAAGGTCAAAAATCGACGACTTTTTGTCAGTAGAAACGTCTTCAAAAAACACTCGTAAACAGTACTCTGTTGAAAAAAGATATTTGCCGTACCTTGTTAAGACAATTTTTGGCGCAGACGCCTGTTTATATTCGGCATGTTTTGCAACCCGGTAAGTACAACTATTGCTCTTTCCGGGGCACAGGAAGAGCCAAAATACAAATGCAAGATTATTTTCGGTGAAAGCTATTGACTATAGCATAGGCTGATATGTTTTAAATGTTAAAGCAAGATATAGTGCGTTCACCAGTTCCCCAAAAAATCATTCGGATCGCTACATTGCAGCTGACATATTCCTTAGCAGCTCCCCATTCTTTACAACATTCAGCACATGTCCATTTGCCACGCGAGCAAACTATGAGGCTGAGTGGAAATTTGCTGAATTCTAGAGGCTACTTTCTCTGGCTGAATAACTCTAGTTAAGCCCTTGTGGCACCGCTTTTCGAAACTGGTTTCAGAAAACGAGAACAAAGTACGCTCTTGATTTAGATTAAGGCGTCTATTGTCTTCGTTAACCTAATTAAAAAGGATAACACACGCAAAGTCATCACACACCACATTACTCCATTTTCGTAGCCGAAAATAATTCCTTTATAGTAGCGCTAACGACAAAATAGCCTAATTGACTTGTTCGGGGCTTTGCAAGGACTTAACCAAACGAATTTTAATAGACATTTTAGCTTAATTCTAAGTAAAATACGACATTACTCCATGGGTAGCGTTAAAATTAAACTAACTTTGCTAATTGACCTTTATAGGGCACTGTTTAAATGGAGTAATGTTGGGAAACAGTTGTTAAATTTATCCCCGTAGATAAATGCGACAAAAGCTGTCCATATTCTTACATGGTTTACATGTTTTTGCCCTTTTCTTGTTTGAAAGTTGGTTCATTGAGCATATATTTCGCATTTTCTTATGGAGTAATGTGGTGGAGGAATGTGGAAACCCATGTTGTTTACTGTTCTCAAATTATCTGAATGATTGACAGGCGACGGTAGCACAGCAATTTCTATATGAACTCTGAACATGGCTGAATAAACTCTTTTATAGAGGTTCCGTATTACCTTCAGGCCTTACGAAAATAAAGTCTAGAAGATTTTAATTCAGCACTTATCTCACTCCTCCCTCGCAACTACAAACATCATGTTTTTCTAGGATAGTTTAACACCGCCGGAATGAAAAAAAAAAACTTTATTGTGGCAGCCTTTATGCCATTTCTATTTGTAACATCTTTCAAAACATTTGGCTGATAGGAAACAGCAAAAGTTAACCAGGAATAATACCGCTGATGAAAAAGATGCATGTATACATGACAACGACTGTAATCGTATAGTATTTTTTGACTTAAAAATACTCTCATGACTTTTCGCTAAATCTGGTGAAACAGACAACCTGTGGCCATTCCTTCTACATAGTCCACGCGAAGGAAACGTCCTCTTGCTTCATGAGGAAAATTAAAGGCCTTAAATGTTTTCTTCTGGCGTTCTTAGAAGAAAGCGATTTCACCTAGTGGATTTTGTGGTCACGCTATGAAATGTCACGCGCGTCAGATGCAAAATTCTCCTACATGTATTTATGATTTTACCGAAATATAACCTTTATTATATTTTTTATATAGTTTGGAAAGTGCATTATCAGTACAGTTCCAGGGCGAGATATCTCAACCAAATGTTAAATGCGACAAGTTTTATAAGCGTTTAAAGTTGATTTCCTATTCTCTTACAATCATCGTCAAAAGTGTTGGGAAGGTTGCATTTTTTACCTCTTCTTTTTCTTCCTCCCCCCACCCCTGGCCCAATGTTGATCAAAACGTTAATGTTTGTGCGCGCAATTGTTCTGTTATATCCCAACATTGAATAGGGGGGACGGGGGATATTTAGCAAAAGAGAAAACTCTGTTTTTTCAGGATTAAAATGGACTACTGTTAAGTTGTACAACCTTCCCAACTAATTTTGTCTGTGATTGTAGCTTGAAATCTAGCCCCAGTATCAGGAACTTCATTTTAAATTCTCTGTTATGTTCCCATTTTTCTTTTTCCGCTTCCCATGTCTCGTCCCCACTCCCTGTTCCCCATTCCCCGTTCCCTGTTCCCTGTTTTAGTAACATCCCTAAAAAAGTTACTAATAACCCATGAATTCATTTTTTATTCATGACAAATACAGTTTTCATGTGATCTTTTTTTTCTCATTTTATCTTTTAGGTCTTTTTCTTTGTTCCATTCTACGATAATAACTTCAACACAATGCGATTGGAGAGAATTCGAAGCGCTATGAAGCTCAACATTGAAATCGCCAAGGATCATCCCTAAAGCTGTTAATAAAGTTATTATATTCGCCTAAAAGAAAATAGTAGTTAGTGTAGCTATGTGCATTTTAGAAATAATATCAGAAAAACTGAAAAGAATAAGACTGGCTTGTTACACTATAACAGTAGGGCCCTGTGACTCCTGACTACGGCCTTAAGTGAAGTACAGAGGATTCTGTTTTTTTTAAAAAAAACATTGAACTGACAATTTATCAGGAAAATAGCTTGTGTTTAGAAGAGTAGAAGGCGGTAAAACAGTTAGAGAGATGCATGACCATTTTCTTATTATGTAATTAGTCATTGTCACAACAGGTGAGCGAATTGTAGTCGGGAATCCTAATCATGGGTGTCAGAACTGAAGGCTTTAGGTGTGCGCAAGGGAAAAACTCTTTCCGGGGTAATGTTATCAAAACAAGGCCTTTTAAAAATAGTAAAAGGCCAATTACTGTATATTTAGGTTGTCCCAATGTTGTAATTATGCAATGAACAACAACATTCCAAACTTAAGGCTTTTACTTGCCTAAATATAAATTAAATTATTAATTCTTCACTTCTGAAAGAACGCGGTTGGCCAAACGGTCAAGCTGCCAGGCCATAAGTTGGAGCTGGGCAGCCACCCGTTTGGCTTCCATTGTGGTCTTTTTTTTTACTTTTGCCTTTTGTTTTAATTTTTCTTCTTTCTCTTTTAACTCTTTTTCTTTTTCCTCAATTTCGCTTTTTCTTTCTTTTTGCTTTAACTCTTCTTCTTTCACCCTCAATCCATTTTCTTTTTCCTCGATTTCCTTTTTCTTTTCCTCCATTTCAATCGCTGCTAGGCAGGTTCTTATTTCCAGCTCCTCCTCTGGTGATAGCTGTAAAAATGAGTGACCTACCTATCATAATCCGTCTACTATTGTAAACTCATGTTACCCCGGTCTAAACGATAAAATAAGATAGGATGAGCTCATCCTTAAAAACGAAAAACATCCTATGTCAACAAAAGGTTGAAAGCCTTGTCTCATCAGGAACTCAGAAGGCAATCAAGGAAACAGGTCGGGGGGGGGGGGGGGGGAGAAAANTTTGTTATTTAAAGATGCTTTTTGTTTGAAAATCACTACTACATACCTCTACTCTTGGTCGTTTATCTTTACGGTATTTACATACTAGGTGTTTATATTTTGGTTAAACGCAGAGATTGAAAGGATGTTGCATTAATCAACTGGAGGTTTTTTAATTTTAATTTTTATATATAAGGAAACATATTTTGCTGTAGTATTAAAAGTGAACGGAGCCAATGGCATAATGCATGTATTTGGCGTTAAATTTCTACTCAGGGTTAGTGTAAAACTCCTTATTGTAATTAAATTTATGAATGAGAGCAATGGTTTCCATTTAATTATCTAGACTGCTAGAATCCCTGAAAATTTTCGCTCGGGCGCATCATGGAGTCTTTCTGTTATCCATGGGCGCATAAATATTCCCTTCTCCCACTCCGAGCCAGTCTCGTTAGTCTCTCAAGTACTCAGTACTGACTGAAAAGGGACTCCTTGCGGTCTTCTACTCATTAATAACTGCACCTTATTAAAACACTGGGGAAAACAGTGAAAACCATCAAACATACAAGAGACGCCGACTTGACGGGGTAGAGTAACTAAACTCAGTCTGTAAACTGAGTGACGGACCTTCGGGGGAAATGCTTCTATTTTGTATTGAGAAGGATGCTTTCTACCTTTTGTCGTCCACCGGTTACATTACGTCTTCGAATCTTCAAATAGTAAAGTAAACAATTTAAGGAAATCCCTTACCTTTTCTTCTGCACATACAGGCGCACATCTCTAGGAGAACTGACAGTAAATAAGGAGAAGCCCTGGGCTCCACTTTGCAATAACGAGTGCGCCCGCGCGGGAAAACATTTCCACAAACTGTTCCAGTAAATCTGTGAGGTATTCCTTTGTCGAAATGGGCTCCAATTTTGTCAGCTTTCGCTGCAAAAGTTGAATATTTTGCCAAATTTGAATAGTGTTTGATCAAAATTCTCTAGAATGTGTTACTTTGGTTAGAAGAATAACGCTGAATACCGCCGGTCGAATCGAAGTCAAACATGGCGGACTCGCAGACTGACAACCGATTTGAGTACACGATCAGTGGTGTCAAAGTTGTGTTTCCTTGCAAGGCTTATCCGACTCAGTTGTCTATGATGAACATGGTAGGTATATTCTAGACTGTCAATGGTTTATTTTGTTTCAAAATGTTCAATTTTTGTGGTTGAATGATATGAATTAATGAATGAGTTTACGAGTTTAGCTGAATCAGCAAGCTCTTTGATCATAATTCAACTTCAAATTCGCCGCATTTAATATCTTTTGTAATATTCCGGCAACCTTGAGTAAGTTATAGGCAAGCATCCCCAAATGACCTAGGGAGGGAAATATAGGTTATATTTTCCTCACTAGGCTGTCATTCAGGGTGGAGTGAAAATATCAATATTGCCCGATCGAATGGCAATATGTTGCTTTTATAGATTCTAGCCCAGAACTCTGAGGAGCTATCAAAAATAGTTAATTATTGTGTAGTTCCAGAAAATCTCCATACTCGCTCACAGTAAGAGTTGGAAATTCCTGGGAGAGGTGTTGGTCTCAAAGATCATAGAATTGAATAAAATACAGGGTTGTCAAAATGCGCTGGTAACTGCTGATACGTTGGCTACTTTGAGGTTTTTGCAGGCTGTTAATTGTTGGAGTAAAGCAAACAAATAGGTGTTTAAAAACAGTTATAAAATGAAAAATAGAGAGAAAAATTAATTGTGTTAATCATGCACTGAATGTTCTTTTTCATGATTTTTAACATGTTTTCGAATTCCTCCCCGATTTAGTTTTCTTCCCTCAGCGTAATATGATACGAATAAAAATAGCTTAGATGCATTCGACAGGGTTTGTGTACATTATCTTTAAATAATCTTCTGTTGAGAATGAAGAATAAAATACCGTAAAATTCTGAAAATAAGCCCCTCCTTGTATAAGCCCCTCCAAATATGAGCCCCCCAATCCAGTAATGCAAAAAACCCTCTGTTAAATCGCCCCTCCAAATATAAGCCCCTCGGGGGCTTGTACTTGGAAAATTGCCTGCAAATACAAAGTAAAACAAAGCAAAAACAGAAAATTTACTTCCAAATATAAGGCTAGTGCAATTTCCTTCCGTAGATAAGCCCCTCTGAATATAAGGCCCTCAAAAAGGGCCTTTGAAAAGTATAAGCACCAGGGCTTATTTTCGGAATTTTACGGTATGCACGAAAGCTTTCAAGTTTCCTTTTGTTGGAAATTTGCACATGTTGCCCTAAGTATTCGTGAATTAGGGTTAAGGGGGCAAAGGAAATTGAGAATCAATCTATTGGTTTGCCTGCGTGCAGATGTCTCCTATTTCCTTTGTTGCTCACGGAAAAGGGACATCTGCGTAACGTCGTCGCTAATCGTGTTCCAGCGTCCCGCTGGGTTCCCAAGATCTTGGGAACACGCTGTGATAGGCTGACACACAGTGCGCATTGTTTGACTTAACGCTGATTGGTTGTTATCGAATCTAGTCTGATAATGTATGCGGTGATTTATGTAAGCTGGGTTTTCCAGCCATAACAAATCAAAACATGCGCCATTGTGTGCAGACCGTTCGAAATCTTGTGCGAGGCCGCGGAAAGTTTAACATGTACGAGGAAAGTATTTCTTTACAATTTACTGTACATGACACATCACATCGTATTTGTAAACAGTGTCTGAGAAAACTACAAAAGCGGTATTGACTTCGTACCAACTTACGAGAACTCGACGAAGAAATTTTTCAAAGCTACAGTTCCAAAGCCTTTAAGGCAGGGCTTACAGGTACATGATTTAACTGCGGAAGAGTCTGTTTCTACTGAGAAGAAGAATGCATGTAGTTATTCCGATCCACGCATTTCGGAGAAAGCCAGCCAAAGAAACTAAAATCTTTATTTAGCCATAACAAACAGAAGTCAAAAAAAAATTAAAACACTTTACAACTGCATCTGAAATCAAATCCTATCAGGAACACCCACAGAAGCATAAACCACAGGAAATGATTACTCAGTATGCATGTAACAAACCTGCTTCATGACCTCTAAATATAAGACTTAGTGCGGCAAAAACAAGATTTACTCAATCAGAGTTTAGAATGCTACATGCACTGTGTAGTGCTAGTAACCTTTGCGCAAGAGAGAAAAGAAGAAAAACTTCTGTTCAAGCAGACTCTCAAGGTCATGTTTCGCATTATCACGAGCTTATGAGTCGTGTTTGGCCGGTCAACTCTTATTTCTAACTGGATATTGTTTCATAATTTATGCAAAATAGAATACCCTGCCAGCGGGATGCTGGAACACGATTAGCAACGGCGTTACGCAGACGTCCCTTTTCTGCATGCAGCAAAGGAAATAGGAGACGTCTGCACGCAGGCAATCTACTGGTGGGTTAAAAATTTTAACCTGAATATAATTTTGACCTGTAACAATGAACGACACATTATTTCTTTTTTCTCAAAAATAACCATATTTGTTTACTTGTCTGGCAAATGGGGCTCTTGTTCCAGCCTACTGAACCGCATAACTTAGAACAAACTCAAAGTATTTGATTAGTCATAGGCCACCTGGGAGCTCATCACAAACTCTGTTTCAGTGAAATCCGCATGATGATGATGATGAAAATGATTGTAGTCAGCTTATTTGTATGGTTCCAGTGTTGTACTCCACATGTGTATTGAACTAGTCAGTTCATTCTCCTTGCCAGTTGAATTCATTATTATCATTATTACAGATTATCAGAGGAATAGAGAGGCAACAGAACTCTCTGCTGGAGAGTCCCACAGGCAGTGGAAAAAGTTTGGCTTTACTGTGTTCCTGTTTGGCTTGGCAGACTGCTGAATATGGTTAGTGAATATGTTGTAACCAAAAATTAAACTCAGGTTAATTTTTTTTTTACCTACACTGCAATTTATTCTCAGTTTCCTTCTTCTCCTAATCCTAATTAATACTAATAAATTAATACTAATAAATTTATTAGTGTTAGCAAGGTGAGATGACAATTTTAAAGAGATCACTTGCCTGAATGCTGGCCTATGAACCTCCTTCTCACTAACATTTTTTTGGTTGCCAGTCAGACAACTCATGATTCAAAACAGGCTAGACAGTAGGTAACTCCACTAACCCTAGACTGTCAGACAGCACTTTTGTTATACCTTGGTTAGGAGGCTTTGAGAATCAACCTAAATGTAATTTTGACCTTCAGTATATACCTCTCTTATACTGAATAAAATAATTTTAAATAATTAAAAAAAAATTTTCTTCTGGAAAGCCCCAACTGGCCGCGGAGTAAAACATGAGACTACCTGGAATAACTCCAGCTGCTGGCTAAAGAAAGAATTTAAATCCAAGAGAGTCCACATTGTAATTCAGTGCCCTAATCCACTGGATTTTTTTCTGCATGTCCTAAATAGTAAAGTATAAAATACATTACATGCATGAGGTATATGCCAGACTGAAGCTTCATTCACATGTTTAATTTTGACAGGCTGAAAAATTTGACTGGACACTCTGTTCACACAGAACCGTTCAATATTTTCCCTCTGTTTACACAAAAGTAACAAACCAGGTTGAATGTAACTTTTGTCAGAGATTTTACCATTTGCTCATGTGCAGGGTGCTACTTTAGTAAATCCACTCATCCATGTAATCACACTGTACAACAGTTAAGACAGTTATGGTATTAACACCTTGCTGGTCGTATTTATGACTATACTGGCTAAAAAATTTGACCTTGATTTTGGCATTCAAATTTTTGAACAGCTAGGTGTCTAAATTTTAGTATGGTCGAGGTGGTTCTGAGTGAACAGAACCCCTAATGGGTAAATTGTCAACCAGCTGAAAATTTGGTACAGTATGAACATAATTTCAAGCTAATTTTGATTATTTTATTTTATTTACTCCTCAGAGAAGAAAGCAAAACTTGAAGAGCAAATGAATGGTAGGTATATTATTTGTAGAGTGTATTATTAATTTTAAGTGGGCATTCAGAATACCTTACACTTGTAGGTCTACTGGTTGCATGTTAAGTCTTTGATTTACATTTATAAATCTGTTTCCCAAACAAGTA